TAACAGGCCCATTGGCCGACGGCGCTGGATGCTTATGCATGAGACTGCTGCAAAACACGGAGAGGAAGTTGCCCAAGAAATCGTAGAGAGGAAACTTCAGGATCCTGACCTTTGCCAAACGGAGGTCAGACAGCATCCTGAGGTCAACCCTGCCCGCAAGGCGTGCAGTCGCGCCGTTCTCTTGCACCATGGCGTCCCGCAACAGTTATCTCAGCGGCATGGCAGCGTTGACTGCGTTCATGGTACAGTCTGGCCATGTGCGCTATGTGGCAGGCTTACGCGCTGTAAGTCATTGCATTTCTCTGGAGCACGGACTAAGAAGTCCCTTACACGTTTACCTGCAGAGGAAAAAAAAGGAATACAGGACCAACGGAGAGCTGGATGCATCGAAGTACCCCAACTCAGACCTTTCCTTGGTGGCAAAGTCCGAACAGGACTTACACCGGGGCTCTGGTGGCTGCCTTGTGGTGCTCGGGGAGGGAGGGTGCAGAAAGCTGCTACAAGACTCCGGTGCGACACTCCTGGAAGCTTCAGCGCTTGAAATTGATCCCGGGTGGTGGCGAAGAACGTGAGTTTGTCATAGGCTTTGCAACATGAGGTTGGCACCCAGTAGGAACCCAAGGCGTTCTCGTTTCAACTTCTTGACACGGTACAAGATTGCCCGGTCTCCGATGTTCTGCAAATCTTGCACGACCTGTTGCTTCGTTTGTCCAACCACCATGCCAATCACACGTGGCGTGGGGTGGTTCCGAAACTCATTCGTGCCTCCCTGATTCACGTCGTTATTCGGCGCCATGCCGAGGTTCGCCACGTTCCCGCGTATCGATATAGGTAGCGTTACATGCATATATAAACACCATAACACCCATTTTGATGATCCCAATAATTTTTTTTTTGAATATGTTTAATATACGGGTCTTAAACATTGTTATCCATTTCGGTTCCTCCCTTCCTCCCCCCCGGGTTCCCCCTACATTTGCCCCGCAGATCCGCAGCATGTTGCCGATTCGACGAAGCCGGCGACCGCAGTTGGAGAGCGCAAGACGCGCAGTTGGAACGTGAGCGCCGGAGAGCGCGTCGAGGCGGATGGGCGTCGGACGCGCGCCGAGGCGGATGGGCGTCGGCAAGGGTTCCATGATGAGACAGTACCAGGAGCGAATGAAAAATGGTTGGAATTGTTTTTGAGGATGTTGAAATGACCTCAATGGACTCCACAACACGATGGCGCCACTGTAGACAAACATTAGCACTCCATAGATCTCGACAATTATATAATACAACAATTTAAATATGTATTGTATCAGCATCTCTTGGTCGGACTGGTTGACTGCTCGCATCCGGCCGTGGTCACGGGATGTGATGTGACAGGGGCACCCGGTACTGCCGGTACGGTCAAAACCCGGAGACCGACCGGTTGACCGTTCGTCAAGCTACAAATGGTGAACCAGGGCTTCAGGTTGAACAACCCATCCCCATATGTTGATATCCCAGACACTCCATATGGAATAATTACATACATTGACCCCATGGTGCCATGATGCCATGACCATCATGACCCATCCATGTAGGTAACTACTCCAGTCCCCAGGCATGTTTGGTAATGTATTTTGTGTTGTTTATTTTTTTTTTGTATGTTGAATCATCCCCCAGGCCCTTGGATGGTCGCTCAACTCTCTGGGCCTGGGTTATTGGGGTCTTCTTATACAGTATTTCAAGCTTAGAAGACTTGGAGTGTACATGATTACATGGTCGAAGTCGGGGATGCTGGTTTTCACGTGGGTTGAAACCACCAACCCTTGCAAGTCGATTTGAATGGTTCTAAGTGTTTTTTTTTCTTCACACCATTCATCTCCCAAACACATGCTAAAAAACAAACAATGGGTGCCTTGGAGGATTGTTCCAAGTGTGGGGTGACTCAATGGAACAATTGTTCTAGAATATGTTGTTATAGGCATCATTTTGGGCACACTTCTTGGTGAGGTAGGATCAAGGTCCCATATATAGGAGGTCGCCGTAGGTGTGTTGAACTCAAGCGTTGGAGTTTCATTCGAGATGTAAGCGCAGCAACACATGGCAAGATTATCACATGTGACATGTTCTAAAAGCCCGGAATGGAATTGGTGGCAGATAGGAAACAGGCACATTGAAATGGACCACATCCTAGAAAGATCCATGTGATTCAATACGTAGTTGTCTATTGATGACCTGTTGATGATCCAGGATTCTTCACTCTTACTGTTCCTGCTGCTACTACCCAGGCCCTAGGTCCTTTCGTGAAGCAAAGCGAAGCAACTTTCAGCTTCACTCTCGGTAGCCTTTTGCACATCTTGGGGCAACTTCTGTGGGGCTTGGTCCAATCTTTGCGAACCTGGGACACTTTGACAAGACACTTCGGCATTTGGGGCATCCCAGGCGCACTGAGACATGGTCCGACCAACTCATTGGGGTGTTGTTTGTCTGAAACATGTCGGTTCGTACTTTGATAGGGGAACCTCCCAACCAATTGATTTAGTCGATCGTTTGATTTTCCCAGAGGGGGTCTCCCTATTCTACTACTATGACCTGGTAAGTGTTTGGTCATCAAATAGAGCAGAGACCCTTGTCCCTCATCAATGTAGCAGATTCCCCCACATGTTCAACACGCTCCCAATTGATCTTACATACTATTCCAGCACATTCCAAAACAGCACCAAATCACCTTGTAGAACGGTAGGATTGCTGTATTTGATTGTATTTGCATGCATGTTCATGCGATGATTTTGTAGCGCAGTGTTCGTCCTGGAAAAGTGGATCAGACTCTTCAACCTGTTTTTCAAGGTTTCCCAACTCAAAGCCAGAAAAAGAAAAACAGGTCAGTTTCTGCCTTCTTAGCGGACCCTGAGTCCAGTGGTTCCAGGCCAAGTCACTCAGACGACGATCCACCAGGTCACCGGTGTCGGGGTCGGTTTACTCGGTTTGCCGCCGTCTGCGGCACCGCTGCAGGACGAGTTCTCCGCGGTGTCCATGCGAGACTTCCAAGTCCCGGACAGGCCCTTGCTGCCGGTGGAGGACGATCCGTCTCAAGGGTCGCCGATCCGGGTCGCCAAGTGGTTTTTCTGACGGATGGTGACGGAACGTCTCATAGCCGGTGGGGCACAGACCCCCCAAAACCACCCACCCCAGTCCCACCTTCGAAACGGAAGTAGGCCAGGAACCCTTGGTGAACCATCATGACTTGGAAAGTGTGCTCCTCGAGTTTGGTGCAACGTCTTGGGTTGCAGGAGCCTGCCGAGGCAAACGATCGATGTGGTAAATCCCTGTGGGAATGTCAGGACAGGTGGATTTTGGAGCACAAGCCCATGATTCTGTAGTGGGAATTGCCAGGGGGGATGAGGATTTGCCATCGCCATCATCGCCACATTCTCACAACGTCAACCTCGGGCCGGAACCCCTTCGTGTCTGAAGGATGGGTTCCCCCAGGAAGAGAAAACGTCCCAGTGAATCGCAGTGACCGTTATACCACATATATCGGGAACCAGGATTTCGTTCGGTCTACGGTTTAAGTCTATGGAACCACTGGTGTGATATACTATAGCATACTATAGCAGTGGTTTGCCTGGATCCACTGGGTATTGTTTGGGTCGCCCCCCCCCCCCGTTGGTTCAGAATGGACAGAGGTCTATCTCCTCTGACCATCTCCAAGAGGTCACCAGGCGGATTCGTCATTCGAGTAAATCACGGTGTTTCCTGGTCAACCCAGACTGGCAGATTCCTGGCTCCGGCTGTCATGAGCTCCCTGGTCTACAGTCTGGTGAGGCTGAGGTCCCTGGTGAAAAGATCCCGTTGTTTTCAGACCCGTGGTACTTGAAGCCCCTACTTAGAAGCTCCCAGGTGCTGTTTGACCACAAGAAGTTCAGCAAACTGTTCGTTTGGAAGAACACCGTTCCCACCCCGCGAGAGAGGGGACGTGACGCGACTGTGACTGCACCATGCACCATGTGGAAAGCACCCCATGCCGGTTCGAACCGGACGTTGGATTGGGGTTCTTCCAGGGCTCTCCGGTCGATTTGCGATGATGATTTGGGTGTGTATACTTTAGATCCGGGAGAGGCCCCAAATCTCGCCCGCTGGCTGGGTACAGTAGACAGCTGTTGACTTCGTCTTTCCGGAGAGCCCAAACCGTGCCATCTTGCAGACTTCGTCCACACGGACGCGGGGACCTTCGGTCCTCCTAAGCGAGCAAGTTCTACACACCCAGACGCTACGCGAAGTGCAGTTTTTGAGGTTTGAATCGATGGTGACCTGCTTTTGGGGAAAAGGATGTTTTCCTAATTGCGGCTCCCTACGGTTGGGGTAGGTGCCAGGAGAGCCTAACCACCTGACCTGAGAGTGAAACAGAAATGACCATGAAACCACTTCATGTCGTGCAAACAGATGATGTGAAAACTCCACTGAATCGATTCTTCTAGGGACTTTTGCTCAAGGCACCCCACGCTACAAGCAGCTTCCAATGAGCATCCTCAGGAGGCCTTTTTCTTGGTTTCTCCGACCCTGAAGCTGCTGCTTTTCTCCGGCGATTCTCCGACAGACCGAGGGGCCCGTTGTCTTTGCCCACCGTGTCTCGCTCGGCCGAGCTCAAACCCCTCGCTCGCGTGTGTGGCCGTGTCCAGTTGCGCGGTTGGTTTCTGGGCCGCGAGAGGCGTGAGGAGCACCAACACCGATGTGCACGGAGTCGGCCCATCCAACACACAGCCCTGGCCCCGAAGAGGGACGGTGATGTGAACTGAGGCTTTGTTAGGCTTGATTGATATTTATCACTCATGTCTGACATGATTGGATTCTTGTTGCCATATTGGTTTCGGTCGACACACCATGCGGGTTCGCCTAGAGTTCTGGTCGAAAGAAGTGGATGGTGATGGACCGTGAGACTTATATAGATTATAGATCATAATCCGTGTAACAAGCATTTTTCGCACCCATTTTCCTTCCAACCTGCCTTGATCCGGCTTGGGTTTCGCGCCATGGATCGGGTTGCACAACTGGAAGCCACTGTGGCAAGACTGGAGAAGGAGAACCGCCAGGTCCGTCTTCAGTACGGAAGGAAGGGATATCGGCGGTACGGTGCTCGCCATCAGTTTTTTTTCATGCGTGGTGTTTCGGTACGGTGCCATGTTGAAGTCAACGTGAAGAATTCACATCTTTCATGTTCTTTTCTGCACATGGAGGAAAGTGACCTCATTTGACATGCGGTTGCGGACAGGTGTGGGCCGCAACCGCATCCCACGCGGCCGGGTAGGTCCTACAGCGCTTGGAGCTCCTGCAGGATGAGCTGAGAGGCGAGTGCTCCATGTGGAGAGTGACCCCATGTGACGAAGGACGAGCAACCTGCCCCAGTGATGAAAAGTCTCCTTGACCGCCTTGACCCCGCCGAAGCCGGGGTTCTCAATCTGTGAGCACCGGAGCCGTGATCAATCACGGTACTTTCGTGCGAACAACAACCCCTCGGGAGGGTGGTTGATTTTGGGAGAGCTGGGCAGGACGAAATGAGTAATATGATTCATTATTGTTTCTTATATATGTTGTTTAAATAAACGCATGAGTATATATAACACGTGAGTATATGCGTTTTCAGATGTTTTCAGTAAAGGCATCATGAATGATCAGTGAATGGTTGAAACAACAAACTGTCCCTCAGAAGGTCCGCTGGTCTAGTACTATAGTAGGCTTAGTAGGTGTGGAGAAAGGGTTTCAGAAAGGACTCGTTGGCTCACGTGATTCTTCGGCAATTCCTTGTACCAGACGACACACCATTGAGCCATTTGCATTTGGACACAAGTGTTCGCAGGTATGATGAACTGGCACGACACTGAGTTGGACTCAACCAACCACTGGACAAGGTGACCTACCGAAAACAATACACTCCTTTTCGTTGTAAGAGGTGGTTTGGGTCCTGAATCCCTTTGGAGGTCATGTTGGGTGCCCATCTGTGTACTGATTTTCCAGTAGGTGTCATGAGCTATACAATGGTTCTTAAACATAAAATCCGTAGGCTGGCTGTAATCCTATAGATGGTAACTGCACTGCGGCGGTGCTGCGGAGTGTGGAACTCTCGGTGTGAGACCCAGGTTTGAGGATCTAAGAGGGGTTTGTTTCTTTCATCAATGGCTCTTAGGGCCGGATCTTATTTTTTAACCACCTTCTCCAGCTCCAGATGATATCTTCCAGAACAAGGCCAGAAATCCGCGTGCCAACTTGATTCGAATATCTGCCCCCCCCGGACCCCAGAAAGCAACCGATCTGAAAGCTCAGTTCCTAAAGACTCCATAGGACTGGTAGAAAATTAAAACCTACCCCATGCACTCCATGGGACTGGAATATATGCCTACATTGACCCCCCTAAACCACACCAATGTAGCCATATATGGCATATGGCATACACTATGGCATACATAGAGCGTCTGGGTACCTACATTGACCTCATGTTCAATCCATCAAGCACCCCTAGGCCTGATCGATGAATATGACAGTCCCATACCTCGTTGCTCTTGGGAGGCGGACGCGGAGGCAGCCCGCGTCGGACGGCCTTGGGCCCGGTGGCAGGGCAAGCGCGAACACAGGAGAGTTTGGAATCCTCGTCCTCAACTGAGAGCGAGGAGGATTTGGTGGTGACTTGGACACATCAGAGAAGTGAAGCAGCTTCACTGCGGCGCACAGTGAACCGTGTTCAACTGCAAGGTGGATGTTTGTTCATCACGTGCTTTTTGACATGAACCTCAGAAACTGCCAAAGCACCTCCCTGTCGAGTCCAGAGTGGTTCTTGATTGTTTGATGTCTATTTTTGATTGTTTGTTGACTATGTGCACAGACATATACAGTCTATATTATAGATTTCTTGACTAGAGTAGTAGATGGCACAGACCTCAAGAGCTGGTTTATTTGAACCCCCATGTAAAGAACATATTGAGGTTTGTGCCGTCTACTCTGAAACCACTGTGATGCAATTTTGAGGAGCTGAAACTATATACATGGTGGTGTTCTCTGAACCTTATGTGGGTAGATGTCGTTGAGCAATTCGGGGGGGGCGGCTTTTGATTTCTCTGATTTCTAATAGGAAGAGGTAACCGTGACATGGAAAGAATGAGAGGGGTGAAGATGTTTCAGCTGATGACTGGGATGGGCCCGGATGGCTTGGATATAAAATTCGACTGCTAAACAGATCTAAACAGTATATGGATGTGTATATGTTAATGGGTCTCTCTACTTTGATACATATTGATGTTGCTCCTCCAAGAAATCATCCCTTTTGAACCCCTGGCATGGGCTACCAAGGGGCCCCACCATCAAAGACCTGGTTTCCTCTAGCAAAGAACACGGCTTTGTGTGAAAGCATTTTGTTTGAGGGCCACTTGTAGTTACCTGGCAGCCTCTTGGGGATGGTCGGAGATAGACCTCCCGACCCAAACAATCGATTTGGTCCAATCCTCATATCAGATACCAATCGGTTCACTACCTGGTGACGACAGATCGGTTCCCGACCTGTGGTCGGGTCTCCAAACATGGGCACGAGGGTCCTGGTATTTTGCTCCAAGCACCCGAGGGTCGCCGGAAGGTTGAGCATCTCCGGACCCTGCACCGAAAGGTTGGGCACCTACATCAAGGGTGCAGGGTGAATGAAGGGTGAATGAACCAACCCCAGTCCCAACTTACAAAAAGGAATCCCCAAACCCCTGGTTTTTTCCTGTGCCCCCAACACACACAAAGAGTACAAAGGGTTTTCAGGCTACAGACCCCTGCAATGCAGCATCCGCCAGCATCCGCCCCCTGCTATGGAGGGTATAAGGGTTCTTGAGGAATGAACAATTAAGCGGACAATTCTGTATACTCGTCCGGCGTCCAGAAAGAAACTTATCTTGACAAACCTCGCTTTCAGCACAAAATGGTAAACAAACCTACGCAGGTCTGATAGATTCTCTTGGTATAGCTTTGTAGCTTGTTGCATTGTTTCCCTAACAATCCATGGGACTGGAATATTTGCCGATCAATTGGGGTGATTTTGAGACGTTTTTTTCAGGATCAATGTATGTCTACTCAGATGCTCATGGACCCGAATCCTCTGCTTCGGGGTGATCGGGTTTCTCACCAATCCCGATCGGTTTTGAGGGGCCGGTCGGTCTGTGAATGGAGCGTTTGGGTAGGTTTAACTATTCCAGTCCCACAAATGCGAACAAAGCTCGGGTCTGACACCGCCTTTCGGGTCTGGCAGCCACGGGCCACCACGGGCCACCCGAAAAACCGGTCGACGTGTCGCCCACGGAGCCCTGGCTCTCACCCTGATCCTGTGAAGGGCCTAGAAAGAACGTTCAAGAGGCTTTTTGGTTGGTGTTCCCACGGCAAAAGGCACAAGATGGCGCGAGATGGCAAGTCAAACAATAGAATGACATTCATGGCAGGGAAAGTGTGTGTGTTCAGGTTGCTGAGTTGTGGCTTCTTCAACAGTCCAGAGTCATGTGGCTGCGAGTCAAAACCTTTTTCACCAAACCCTGTTAGGTTGACATCCCCTATAGAGGAAGCCGTTCAGTTGACCAGGTGTCCACCAGGGTTTTTCCAGTTTTGATGGACGCTTTGCTTTCAGAGATGGACCAGATGGACGCTTTGCTTTCAATGATCACTTTGGCACTTCTTGTGGCGCCCTTGCATGCCTATTTGACCAAGAGAGACTTCTTAGACCTTCAAGGATGGCTCATCAACTTCATGATCCAGCGGCAGGGCGTTCAGGACTTCAAGGAAGCGTGGATGGAGGACGGGAAACAATGGCAGACCAACGTAGGATGCATGTACACTGGGCCTGGCTACCTCTGAAGTTGCACGCAGACATAACGGGGAGGAACAGTGCAGTAGCAGGACCATGTGTCCGGTGAGACTGTTGATTTATAATCACCCCCTGCTAGAGATCTAAGGGACATCTCCATACCCAAACACTCCATGTATGGAATACATGCCATATACATGCCTAATTACATTGACCCCTCAATCCAACCCATGGATTGTTTGGGATATGAGGCGGGGTGGAAGTAAAATAATAGCAAAACCCCAGCTTGACCCCGCTGAACAAAAGAACATCAAAAACAAGGGACGCGTCTGATACGCCGCCCTGCAACTGCATGCTCGCTTCTTTTTGGTGGTTTTCTTGCCAGTGTTTTTTGTTGTTGGTATTTACAGCCACACGTTTAGCTGGTACAAGAACCGGAAGATAGTCGAACTGGACTTCTAGGAATATGTTGAATTTATATATGTTATTATTTTGGTATTGTTATATATAAATAGTATATTACACGTTTTAGCCGATGCTACAAAGCCTTGCAAACACGTGAAAGAGGAGAAACTCGTGAAGTTGCGGCAAGCCAACTACAAGTTGTTGAGCCGCATTTTTTCCCAGGCAGCATTTTGTGCTGTACTGAGCTTCACCTATTCGGCCTTGTCCTCTCCTGGTTTGGAGACCATCGGAAGTGCGAGCGTGGTGGTGGCCAGCTATGTTCAACATCTTCTGGTGGCCAAGGAGGTGGTTTGCCTGACACCTGGACGGATCAAATTCCTGACCTACTTGCATCATATCATGGCCTTCCTTTTGCACATTCTGCAGGTGGCCTCCGAGAGTGACACCTTTGGTGCCAAGGCAGCTCCCAATACTGCAACTCGCTTCGTGCTGGTCTTCGCATTCTTGGATCCATGGGTATCCATTCCTTTTCAATTCCTCTTCACTGCAGCAGATGCCTTGACTTATTTCACCGTTTGCTCCGGGTCCCACATGGCCCCTTATGTGTGCTTTGGGCTTTGCTTCGTTTTTGTCTCCAGTGTGACCTGGCTCAATGAGTGGAGTGTATGTGTTGGGTTCTTGGAGAAACCGACACCCCTGTTTTTGCTCAAGCTCAACAACAACTTTTGGGCCTCATGGTCACGGTGGTGAATGGACACCCTGAACATCCCTGAACCACCTCAAGATTGCGGGCGATTCATTCTTAAAAGGACAATTGAGTCGAAAAAAAAAACGGGAATATGTATTAAGTAAGGAATGTTCCCAGAGGTTCAGAAATCGCTTGGCCACCGCTTGGTATTCTGGTGTTTAAAGTGGGTATGTTACCTCGTCGCGCTAGCAAACGCAGGGTTGCGCTAGGTTCGCGCTAGGTTTGGCGCTAGGATCAAGTACTTAGGTAACTTAGAAAAGATTAACAAACAAGAGCTGATTGTAATGGTCACTCATTGGTGCACATACACACACACACACCCGCACAGGCACAAGAGCAGCAACTGTTTGAAAGGCAGCGCGCGCTGAAAAAGGCAGCAACTGTTTGTAAGGGAGTAACTGTTTGAGAGACGAGAAAGCGAGTTCTTGATCACAGACGTTTGGTGGCCATGCACTGGCAGGGAAGCGCGCTAGATCCGCGCTAGATCCGCGCTAGACCCCTTTGCAACTTTGACCACTTGTCCAAGTGCTTTCCAGGGTGTATAGTCTTGGCAATTTGTTTCTGTGTGCAAGAGGATGGCTACTTTCAGCTTCACATTTGGAACCATTGGACTCTGTAAGTAAGAACGCAGCTGTTAAAAGGGCATACACAACATACAACCATATATATGAGCGCATGTTGGGTACATGCTGGCCACCGCTTGGAATTGCTGTGATTTCAACCTAGGATAATGATTTTAGAACGGGTGTTCTTTTTCAACTCAATTCAGGTACCGCTCGATCTCCTCGTGTCAGATCCCAGCACCATCCCCCCAGACTCGGAGATAGATAGATAGATAGCCTCCGCCCCTTCACCGATCCACGTGGACACGACGCATCCTTCAGCCATGTGGCAGCCTGTTTTGCCTGTTGGGTCTGGTTTTGTTCTCCAAAAAGGACATACCATAAACGTTCCAACGAAACAGGTCCGGCAAACCAACCCGCCCTGTCTTCGGGTCGTGGGGTCGTGGTTCTCCGTGTTTCGGTCGGTTCCGTCCATGTCCACGGAGGTCGCCTCCTCCGTCTTCATGCACGTGGCTCTCAGGGGCCGGATCCGTGCGGTGCTGGACACGGCGGATGCCGAGAGCTTGGTGAGCAGCTTCCGGAAGGTGCTGCGAGGGGTGTGTGACGGCGAAGTCTTGTTGGATAGCCGCATGAATGTGCTTAAGGTCTCTTGGGCATGGATTTGGCGGCCATGTGCTTATGGTCTTTAATTTCTACAGCAGACAGATACGGAAGATGATTAGACACATCGCATTTCAGGAACTGGAAGATGGATGAAGATGGACCTTTGTTGAGGTGATTTCAGGGGGTCAATCATTAATCAATGTAATAGATGGTCAATGTTTCAAGATTTTCTGACATTAGATTATATATAATATTGTGTATACACCTTGGACCTAGCGCTTCCAATGGGCGCCCATCGGAGACCTTTAAGATCCTTTAAGTAGAACCGTTCATTGGTGACCGTATGTTGCCGGAACGAAAGAACGTGTGTCCCAAAACTGGACGCATGGACGGGCTCGCTTTCCTCGGAATTCCCGAGGAAAGCGAGTGCTTGAAGCATCTCATTTTGACCAACGTGAGCCTCGCGGGCTTATCCTTTCAAGATCTCCTTGCGGATGACGAACGATCTCGCTTCGATGCCTTCATCCGAGCTTCGACCCAAACCTTTGGAGAGCGCACGGACTCAGCAACACCATTGTGTCTACGAGTGAGCTTACGGGGATCTGAAGGCATACGAGTTGCTGCGGATTTGTACCACGTTCCTGTTCCAGGTCGGGTGTGTGTTGTTTCTTTTTCGGTTTTCTGCGAGTTGAGGACAGAAGGCAGAATAGACATAGAGCATCATAGAACAAGAAAGTACCTGGAGTCTCAAGGTACTTCAGAAATGAGTACAGTTGTACCCGTCCTTCAGGTTGGTAGTACTTTGGAGGATCCAAGTACCTGAGACATATGAGTCGACTCATTTTGCTCCACATTTTCGGGGTGAACATGTCCTTGAAATCTACGGAGACGAACAACGAACGCCATGACTTCGTTGGCGAACGCTTCTTGTGCCCTTCCTTCCCTCATCCACAGGAATATGTGCCGATCTATTGGGGTGATTTCAAGATGTTCTAAGGATGGTCAATGATGTTCAATGTATTCCAGTCTGATGGATGGTCTAGGCTTCCCCATGGACCCCCCTTTTTCCGCCTCCCGCATCCAATGAGATCACCTGAAACTTTTACAGCAAGCAGTTCGGTCACTGACAAGTACCTGAGCTATGTATCTGTTTAATCTATATAAGTGTATGGACCCTCCAGATAATGCCCTAGAAAATGAATGAAACTGGTACATATATGGTATACTCCAGATAGTACCCTAGCAAAGAAAATCATGTATATATACACCATTCTGGACCCATTGACCCTCCACATCAAACCCGAAAAAAGGGATATGACCCAAACAACGCAGCCATGTCCCAATGGAACCTGAGGCGACCGTTTCACGGGGGGGGCCGGAGGGTTCAGGTCTCACGTGTGGACGTCGATGTTCCAAACCGGTTGGTTATTGGACATAGATGGATAGACTGGATGGATAGTCATGCGGGGTCTAGACCACCATCCGGATGCTGGTCCATGGTATATAATTATATTGCCTAAACAGATCCCATCGTTTCTTCTTTTTTTTCTTGTTCGGGATCAGATCGATCCCTTGCGTCGTTGTGCCCGTCTTCGTCGATGTGAAGAAAAACGCATCTCGATCTCCGAACACCGTGTGTCCCTCGCCGAGCTCGCGTTTTTGATCGTTTTTGGGAGTCCCGCATGCAACAAAAGCGCCCCCCACAACAACAGCGCTGCAAGAAACCACGTGGTGTGACGGTGTTTCGTGCCGGACGAAGTGTGTCTCTCTCTCTCTCTCTCTCCCTCCAGGGCTGTTTGGTGACGATGAACCTTCACACCTCATTGCCTTCAAGGAGGATTTGGATTCCAGGTCTCAAGTTCCAGCAGCCCACGACGGTGCAGTCCCCGCAGCCCTGCTCACCGGCAGGGGCGCGGCCGGAACGACGCTCGGGACACATGGGTTCGACGCGGAACGACGAATGGGTTCGGATCGGTTGAGCCACTGAAGTTCGGGAAGTTTGTTAAGGAATCGTCACCTTTACATGAGATACCTGGAGTCTGGATTCGATACCTGGTGCCTCAGAAAATGGGTACATGATGGTACATGTATACTATATAATATAATATATAGCTATATAGGGTAATTTGGACGACTTTGGAGGGTCGAGGTACTTGTTATTTGTCATGAGTGGATCATGTTGCTTGGCTTATCATTTTGCACCATTTTGTTGATCACATTTCTGTTTTTTTATGATACGGCGACCACCGAGATCTACACACAGAGTTGTGATTCTTTCACAGCAATGTCACATCAAGAGGAGAAATAGTAAGTGGGGTAAATTCGCAGTAAGCAATCAACCTTTGCGAGTGCAACACATGCAGGGTTGGTCCCATAGTTTTTTTGGTCCGGTACGGTCACTGTTCTTCCGGCCAAGAGACGGAGCACATATTAATGTCTAATATTTTTAAAAAGGCGGCGCACAAAACTTCGCATCACATTGCCTTTGCGTTCTTCAATTGAGGAGAGATCCGAAGCCATCAGATTCGATCTCCAACTCCAGCCGAAGTTCTACAGTTGGCGACAAGCCAGAGTTGCAAGAGATGTTCTTACTGGTAGATCCTCAAACGCAGCTCCACGATGTGACGCAAGTTGAATTGAACTTTTTGCGCTATGAAGAGCCACAGGAGTTCGGGTCAAAACCCGGAGCCCTAAACCCTGTTTTGTTGTTCATTTTGATGGGTCAACTAAGATCACCCGATTTTTGACCCATAGGTGGGGTGATCCCTTGGGGGCATGTTGAAAGAAAAAAGAATTCCTACGGTCCTGCAGCTGCATTTTGCAGATGCCACCTGCTGCCAGTTCTCTCTTTGCGAGGAATATGCTAATTAATTCTTTGAACGAAGGCATATACAGGGAATTACATCATATCCATTCATATCCTAGTTGCTCCCTTGAGGATGTTCCCACAGCTTTGCACTCCAGCATGCCAAGTTTGCGGAAGCTGGTGAAACCCACCGATTGGGAGAGGGTCCGGTCTCGCGTGGTGCGATTCGCTGAAAAGGCGTGGCGTGATCCTTCCAGACCTCATTCCATGCAGATGAATCCAATGACGATTCAACTGCCTGGACTCACTGGCTGGTTTTCGGTGGACGAGGCGGGTTTACACCATCACCATGGGGAAAAGCTCTGGCTGCACTTACGAGGCTTCCGCCCACAGAAACCTCGTCGCAGCTCCAAGATGCCGTCCTTGAGTGAGATTCAGGAAGGCGACCAGCTCTCCGGGCTGTGACACTGCCGAGCTCCAGAGCTCAACGACCAGCACCGGTGCGACCCTCGTGGCTTCGATTCGGCTGGGAACGCTCGAAACGGGCGGGCCCACGCGACGACACAAGGGGGCCACCGAGGACACCACGCATATTCGGCAGGTCGGTGGAAGCGTGGACTGTGATCCCTGCGGCCTGAAAAGTGGACCCTGACAAAACCATGTTCAAAACATATTCATGTTTATACTAAGATATATTATAGAATAGATGTATAATATCAGTGTATTGTACACACATAATTGGAAAGATGTGATCAGTGATGAGTGGTTTCAATGTAATTATAGATAAAATTTTATGATATATGTTATGTATGTATGTATGTATGTATGTATGTATGTATGTATGTATGTAT